CACTGGCCCTCATATGTGGGATCCGAACCGGGGCTCTCTGGCATCCCAAGCCAGTTCTTAACAAACGCGCCACTCGGCCGGCCCAGGCTTTTGTGATTATAAATGACATTATTATGAGTATCCTAGTGCAGGCATTTAAAAAATTCACTTCATTTATTAGTATTTTAGAAGTTGAGGTATAGATCTCAATTGTGTAGTTTGATGAGTTTCGGAAAATGCATACACCCCATTTTAACTCTTCTGTTAAAAAAACAGAGCCTTTCTATCATCCCAGGATTCTTCCCCAAGTCCCTTCTCAGTAAATCCCTACAACGTGGCCCTTAGAGTTTTTTGCCTTTTTTAAAAACTTCACTTCAATGGAATTGTTAAAAGAAAACTTCCACCAACTATTTACAGATCAATTTACTAGATCAAGTAGGCTTTTATTCAGCAATTCATGAATTGGGCAGCATCCAATCTAGCAGATAGAAAGGAGCTCCAAAGAGATGTACAGGTAAGAGATTTTTTTAATTGAGATCTAATTGACATATAACATTGATTTCAGGTGTACAACATAATGATTTGATATCTGTATATATTATGAAATGATCACCATAATAAGTCTAGTTAACATCCATCACCACAGATAGTTACAACTTTTTTTCTTGTGATAAGAACTTTTAAGATCCCTCTTAGCAGATTTCAAATATACAACACAGTATTATTAACAATAGTCACCATGTTGTGCATTACATTCCCTGGACTTGCTTATTTTATAACTGGAAGTTTGTACCTTGGACCCCCTTCACCCACTTTAGCTCCCTCCCTGCCCCACTGTCTTTGGCAATCACCAATCTGTTCTCTGTATCTATGAGTTAGTTTGTTTTTTAGCTTCTGCATATAAGTAAGATTATACAGTCTTTTTCTATTTGACTTATTTTCCTTAGCATAATGACCTCAAGGTTTATCCATGTTGTTGCAAATGGCAAGATTTCACTGTTTCTTATTGCTAATATTCCGTTATGTAAATGTACCACATTTTCTTTATCCATTCATTAATTGATGGACACTTAGGTTGCTTTCATTTCTTGGCTAGTGCAAGTAATGCTGCAACAAGCATGTGGATGCAGATATCTTTTCCAGTTAGTGTTTTTATTTCCTTCAGATAAACACCCAGACATGGAATTGCTGAAGCATACAGTAGTCCTACTTAATTTTTTGAGGCACCTCCATAATGTAATCCATAGTGGCTGCACCATTTTACATTTCCACCAATAGTGCAGAAGGTTTCCCCTTTCTCCACATCCTCGCCAACACTTATTTCTTTTTTTAAATAATTGCCATTGTAACAGGTGTGAGATAATAATAACTCATTGTGGTTTTGTTTTGTATTTCTCTGATGATTAGTGATGTTGAACACCTTGCAAAAGATTTTTATAGCTCAAAGTGAGCAGGAACAAGGAGGCCATTATGCTGGCCATTTGCTGACCAGTTAAAGCAGGGTTACTTTCCTTGCATGGAGCAAAGGGAAACCTTAGAGCCAGGTTAGGTAATTTGTGCTGGATAGACAAGTGGTAATTGGTTGACCTAAGCCTTCCTTTTCTGGAACAACCAAGAGCATAGAGCATAGAGCATAGAAACTTAGTTAAATTTTGGTTTGCTGATGTGGGGCTTAACATGAATGACTCCATCTCGGGCCTAATCTAGTTACTTTAACAGAATTATTCTGTACTTACTCTTTTCTGTCCTGCTTTCACTCAGCATGTTTTGAGATTGATCTAGTAACATATTATTGTATACATTGGTAATTTATTCACCTTTATTGCTGAGTCATATTCCATTATATGAATATACCAGAATTCGTTTATCCATTTACCTGTTGATAAATATTTGGATTGTTTCCAGCTTGAGGTTATTATGAATAAAGCTGCTATTAATATTTTTTTATTTGCTTTTTTGGTAAATATGTGTTCATTTCTCTTGGATAATACCTAGCAGTGGAATTTCTGGGTTATAGGGAAGGTGCACATTTAACTTTATGAGAAACTACAAGTCTTCCAAAATGGTTATAACATTTTACACTTCCACCAGCAACGTATACATTCTGCTTGTTCAATATCCTTTACAATATTTGGAGATGTTAATCTTTATTTCAACATCCTGGTGGGTGTGTAGTGGAATGTCATTGTGCTTTAATTTGCATTTTCCTGATTATTAACAAATTTGATTTCCCTTTTTAGTATTGAACTGTAGGAGTTATTTATATATTCTAGACACAAGTCCTTTGTCAGATGCATGCATTGTGAATGTCTTCTCCCAGTCTGTGACTTGCCTATTCATTTTCCTGGTGGTGTCTGTTGACGAGCAAAAGTTGTATTTTTGATAATGTTCAATTCATAAGGTCATCCTTTTATGGTTTAGCTTTCTATGTCCTGTGTAAGAAGTATTTTTTCCTATGTTTTCTTCTAGAAGCTTTATATGTTTACTTTTTTACATTTAAGTCTATTATCCATTTTGACTTAACTATTGTGTATGGTTAAGGGGTGAAGGCTTAGTTTTTCCATATGAACATCAAGTTGTTACAGCAGTATTTATCGAAAAGATTATGTTTTCCCTATTGAATTACTTTATTGCCTTTATCAAAATTATATAACCATATGTGCATGGATCTATTTTTGGACTCTCCTCTGTTTCAGTGATCTGTGTATTCATGTCTATACCACAATGTCAGTATTCTAGTAAGACTGGAAATAACGTAGAGAAAGTAAGTACTTAGTTTTGGTCTTTGGGAGCCCAAAAGCCTTGTTTTCAGTGTGAAGACCTTGTTCATCTTTCATTAATTTTCCATACATATTTTATGATTTTGGTGCAATTATAAATAATACTTTATTAAAATTAAAATTGCTTGTTGCTAGTTCTGGTAGATTGTATTTCCAAAAATGGCTGCAACAGTTTCCAGTCCTCATGCTGTTCCGGAATCTTGCCACTTTACCATCAAGAGATGGAGTCTATTTCCTGTTTCCTTGGACAGATTGAGCCTTTGTGGCTGCCTTAACAAACAGGATATGGTGGAAGTGATAGTGCATGATTACTAAGACTAGGTTAGAAGGTGACATAGCTCCCACCTGGCTCTGTCTCCTGGGACCCTTTGAACCCAGCCACTGTGTTGAGAGGAAGCCCGGGCTACCTAGAGAGATCATGTGTAGGAACACCAGATGACAGCCCCAGCAAAAATTCCAGTTGCAGCCAGCATGGCACGCCAGAATTGAATATTAATGAGTGAATGAATAATTGAGGGGGATGGAGTCTGGGACAACTGCCCCTTTTGTCATTAGGAAGATTGATATTGACAGTTCTAGTGAATATTTCTTCTTCTATGTCCAGTTTGGGATACTGCTCTCTCAAAACAGCGTGTAAGAATGAGAAGAATTTAGAGAAGTGTTAAGTCATCAACATGCATTTACAGAATGCTGAAGAACACCACCGTAGAAGAAAAAAGATTTCCATTATATGACCTTCCTTCCTGAATCCTTTGCTCAATCCAGTCAGGGTTGCTTTGTTTGTTTGTTTGTAAATAACAACAGGGAAAGACGAAAGAGGCCCTATGAAGAAAGCCTAACAAGAAATTGGTCTGGGGACAGAGGGACAGGAAAGGGACTAGGGGTTAGTGGCTTCCATTAACTCATTTAACTTACTCATTTATCTAACTCATTAAGCTAGATAAGAAATGAGGAGTTGGGGGTTGGGAGGCCCTGTTTTCTCCACATTGATTCCTTCTCCTGAACTCTGTTCTTTTCCTTGTTGGTCCCTGAAGTTTAATTTATGTTACATGAAGCATAATGATCACAACAGTAAAGCAGGGTCAGACTCTTACATTCATCTTTTTTTTTTTCACTCTGCGGTCAGAATTTCATCAGATATTAAAAAGATTCAGGTTTTTTTTCCCTTTATGGAACTGTGCCCAAAAGGACCAAGCACAGTTTAAACACTAACTGACAAGTAAAAACAATAAAAATTAAATCAAGTGACCTTGGACAAGTCATCTCACCTCTTAATGATTTTGTTTCTGTGGAAGAAGATGCGAGTGTGTGTGTGTATGGGGTGGGGGTGGGGGGCTAAGTGCTTCCTAGGATTTCTCACAGCTGTAACATGCCACTAGGTACAATTCTAGGCAGGCTGTGGGGGCTGGGGGTTAGCAGTCCGCAGACCCAGGCCTTCTCTGAGTTCCAGGCTACATCGGACATCGTAGAAATTACGTGCCTGTAAAGAACCTACACAGATCCCACCAAACTGGGCATGGAAGAACAGAAACTTGAAAAATCAGGGAGGTTATGAGTTCTGAACGATTCATATGAGACACGTGCACCCCACGAAAGTGACAGGCAGGTAAAATAGGTAGCACATAAGCACAGAAAGAAAACGGTACCCCGAGCGGCGTCCATCTCCTAGAAGCGTCCCCTAAAGCGCCGATTCAAACCCCCC